GAGACGAGAACTGAGCTGGACCAGAAAGACAAAGATGCTATGGACTACTTCCGTGGGGGGGGGCGGGGGGGTAAAGACTCACCAGACGGTATAATGTGAAGCGTTCATACGTAGAATCGACTCGGTCAATTCGAGAGCTCTGTCAGAGTATTCTTTACGAGCTGATACCGCTCGGAAGTAGTCCATAGCATCTTTGTCTTTCTGGTCAGCTCAGTTCTCGTCTCAGAAGAGAGTCTACGTACACTCTTGAGAGTACATGATGGGAACAAGAGCATCAGGTGCGTCATCTTGAGGTATAGGCTCAACGTCGGACCATATGCTACGCTCGGCTAGGGGGATGTACGATGATGTAGCTGTGTCCTGAAGGATACATCAGCTGACGAGCTACTCCTATGCGCTCGATACTGACCATGGTGTGGGTGAGTGAACATCCAATGGCCAATGGTTTGTCTGTGACCAACTTACTGTAACAAAAAACAAAAGGAAAGAGCCTAGAGCCACGTGGCGCTTGCTCTGTATTGAAGTGCAATAGGAAAATGGCCTAAGGGGCGCGCCTAACTTTTGCACAGTGGTTTCCAACACTCCGACCATGGCACATTTCTAAATCCGGTGCCCCGCATGCATCATATCATTTGTTTGGACAACTTGACCGCTAGATTTATTGCTAACCCCCGTCCTCATCGTCATCTCATATCGACCCGTGAACAACAATGACGTCTTCAAAAACGTCATCAACCATAGCACCACCATCAACAACAACTCTATCATCAGCACCATTAACAATCCCACCAGCGACAACAACAACAACAGCAACTACTACTACAACATCCACAACAACGTTAACGACTTGTTCTTCATCATCATCGTCAGTCAACATGGCTGCTTTAGCTCCCTTCCCAGCTCCCCTCAACATTGTCGTCCCTCCTGCACTCGTAGCCAATCCTCTCTGGCAAATGTGCCCTATCCTGTCCGCCATCCTTCCAGTAGGCATCCCCCTCCCCCCCTCCACAGCCGTGTTATCCGCACTAAGGGCAATGGTGAAATGCCTGGATGCCAGAAATCATGCCGATTTGTTCACGGCGGAGAGCTTTTATCAGTATCTTTTATCGCTTTGTGAGTCGTCTTCTCTCGCTGGCTCATGAAAGTTGCCGTTTTCAGTATCGCCACCAAAGATATCGACGTGGTCTGGGATGGACCATTCATGGGTGGTGAAACACTCGGTGGTTGATGTTTGGAATATTGAGGATTGATAGTACTTTTTGCTTCTTGTCTTGATCTAACAAGTCTACGATTCGCTGTGGAATTCAACTCGAGCTCATGCACGCAGATGGTAATCAAGCTCCTATTGTCGCCCCTGGCCAAGCCGGCCAAGTGGCCTTATTAAATGCCGTCAACGGGCTGCAGCATGCTGTCAACGGGCTGCAGCACTCTCTCATTGGGATTCGTGCAGGAGTTGACACGCTCTTGTATACGTCTGCTCAACAGAAAGCGATGGTGAGTAGAGTATATCTCCTCTCCCAGTCTCTCATCTGTCCGAGGACATAAAGTCGTTCGTCGCAATCTCACTCGATGGCACTCTTAGTGGAGACGTCTCGAGTAGGGTTTACCCCTCGAGACTTCAGCGGTGTATACGAAGTGGGTTGAGGAGTATGATGAGATGACCCCATCTTCTATCTTCCTTGATTCATCAATCCGAGGAATGGTCACCCATCAGATTGCACCCTAGCATCCGACTGACCTTGCAGTCGCGAAACTACTACATCGAATCGTCGCAACCAAGAATTGAAGGAGACTGGGTGCCCGTTCCCTGCTTCAATGATGGAGTGATACGGCTCCCGCCCAATCTTGTTGGCCGAGTGCGTACACCCCTCTCCCACTCTCCGCTCTCCATCCGATCTGATCTTCTTGCACCGCTCACATCAGAATGCCAGGCACCCCAAGTCGGCTGCAGGGGTACGCAAGCTATCTGATAATACTTGCAGGGCCTGGCTAGCCTTGCATAACGTTGCGCCGGCGCAAAACGTGGAGGGCAATCGCTCCCTTCTGATCCAATTCTTGACCGGGGGACTTTGATATCCTTTCAAGCTGTCGCCATCTCTCTGTGGGTACTTCCCATATCTCATTATCTCTCAAAAGTCCTTGGCTGATTCAGCAGATCTGCAGATTGTTCCTTGCTACGTAGCAACGCCCTCTGCACTCGCCTTTAGAGGCAAATGTCATCGTTGCCGGCCCTCAGGACATTAGGACACTTGCCCAGGACTTAACGGTATATACGCCGACACTGACTGCCTCATCACTGAGCACGACTTCGAGGTACAGAAGTTTGAGACACATCTTACTGACTGGAGTAGGCCCCGTTTTAAAGTCTGATGGAGTGAATTCTGATGATAGCCCAGTCATGATGCCCGAGCTTTACTGTCCTGTCATTTTGTGGAAGGAAGTATCACGAGATTCTAGCCCAATATCCCACGTCGGTCGATCGTCTCGAGCCTTTTGCGCGGGCTTGTTCTATGCCCAGTGAGCTAAACATATGATAACTTTGCAATTGTTTACTGATCAGCAGGTGGCTCCCCTTCCCATGTCAAGACCGAGACTCCCGGTAGTATCCAAGAAGGTGGGGAACGGGGATCATGTCTAGCTGTCGCATTTGGAAGTGTCATGGATAAGCCTAACTTGAGCACTGTCGCGGTGATCGGAGACGGGGAAAGCGAGACTGGTCCTACTGCCATTGCATGTCATGCTCACAAGGTATGTCAGCTTCCACAATCTGACGTGAACTGAGCGTTTAGTTCCTCGATCCTGCTGAGAGTGGAGCAGTACTTCCCATCCTTCATGTAAACGGCTACAAGGTGCGTCGAAGCTTTGGGTGTTCATCATGGCTGTTAACTTGATTATAGATAGGAGAAAGAACCATTCCCGGGACCATGGATGATCTCGAGGTACGTACGCCACAACACGATGACGAACATGTTGACCATTACAGCTCGCTTGCCTGGACACCGGCTATGGATATCAAGTGAGGATAGTCGAATATGGTGCGATACCCCATGGTTCGGACCATGAACATGACGTGGCTGTCAATTACGACATGGCAGTATCGATGCAATGGGCTTTGGACGAGATCAAGAGGATCCAAAATGCCTCTCGGTCAGGTAACCCCATCGTGAAGCCCAGATGGCCCATGATCATTATGCGCACTCCGAAGGGATGGACCGGCCCCAGAATCAAGACACATCCGATCGAAGGAAGCTGGAGAGCTCATCAGGTGCCTCTGGCAGACCCATTGAATGACAAACAAGAGTTTGATTCGCTTGTTCAGTGGCTCAAGTCATATCACCCCGAGATACTCTTCCATTCCGAGGTGGACTCTTCTCATTCAAAAGCCCATGTCCCGGAGCAGAAAGCGGATGGGATCATCGATGTTAAAGCAACTCGGATCATACCTAAAAATCTCAAGCGTCGTATGGGCTCTGTCGACGTGAGACATTCCAATCACTCACCCTATCGTGTCGCTCATGATCACAGATAACCTACCGTGGTATCACAGATCTCAAAACTCCGGAATGGAAAACATTCGAAACAAAGCCTGGAGAAACCATCTCCAACTTGAAGGCGTAAGTGGCCAACAGCTGTGTATAAGTGAAAGACGCTTACTGTCAGTGTCGGTCAATATGTCGCCAAAGTTGTCGAGCTCAATCCTTCGAATTTCCGAATTTTCTCGCCCGACGAATTGAGCAGTAACAAGCTTGATGAGAGTCTCAAAGTCACCCATCGTAATTTCCAATGGGACCCGGAAGTAAGTAGTTGTCACATCTGGCCGAGGGTAGCTCATGCGGGGAGACCGCAAACAACGGTGGTCGAGTGATCGAGATGCTTTCGGAACATACATTACAAGGGTGGATGCAAGGTTACACATTGACTGGGCGACACGCCCTCTTCCCGTCTTACGAGAGGTGAGTTAACGATTGAATTTACGATCAGTCGCTCATATCTAGCTTCCTGGGCATCGTACAGACTATGATTGAGGTTGGTGCCGTCAAGTATAGTATTGAACCCCGCTGAGTCATTTCTACAGCAATATGCCAAATTCGTTAAGATGGGCCTTGAGACCAAATGGCGGGGAGACACTCCAGGTCTGACCTATATCATGACCAGGTGAGACATTGTACCAGTCGTTTCATGTCGATTGACTAAATGTCAGTACTCTTTGGCGTCAAGAGCATAACGGATATTCACACCAAAATCCGGGGGTGAGTCAAGGGTTCCAGACATTGGCGAAAAAACTCACGAAGCAGCTCATTGGCTCATTCATCTCTTTACCTCGTAACTTGGCCAGAATCTACTTTCCCGCCGATGCGAACACCAGTGTCTGCACCATTGACCATTGTCTACGGGCGAAAAACAGTGCGTCAGACCGGTCTTTGAGGAGGGCTCGACTGATCGCGTAGACATCAGCTTGATCGTGGGATCCAAAAATCCGACTTTATCGTCAGTCTCCTCTTTCTACTCGACCGGTGTATTGCTGACACTTCATAGATGGTTATCTGTTGAGGAGGTCAGCTACCAGACCACTGAATGTAGAGGTAAAAACTCACAAAACAGGCTGAACGACACTGTATCGCAGGTGCATCCGTGTGGACCAATTACTCCTCTGACGGAGGTGTCAATCCGGATGTCGTACTCGTCGGTTGTGGAGTCGAAGTGACGTTTGAGACCATCGCTGCCGCCGCTCTCCTCCGTAACGCAGGCATTCGAGTTCGGGTTGTGAACGTCAACGATCTTCTCGTTTTAGGTGCTAAAGGTGGTCACCCTCACGCCTTGACCGAAGAATCTTTCGAAAGCATCTTCACAGTGGACAAACCGGTCATTATCACTTTCCATGGGTATCCAAAAGACATTGCCAGTTTGTTATTCAGTCGAAAGTCCCACGTTGGTAGATCGAGAGTGAGCATTTGAACCTATCAATGGAATGTAGACTTTCTAAAGGATAGTTTGACATTCTAGGTTATATCGAGCAAGGTACTACCACCACACCTTGGTCCATGCTTCGGCTTAATGACGTATCGCGGTATACAATCGCCAGCACGGCTGTACTACGAGTTGCGAGAATGCAACCGAACCATCAAGTGACAGTGAAGGCACATGAATGGGGAAGTTATTGGAGACATCAGTTGGTACAGCATGATAAGTATGTGGTGGAGCATGGTGAGGATCCAGAGTGGTGCGGTCAGATTCCACAGTTGGTGGGAGATGCGGCGTAAGCAGTAATGTATCTATAGATAGGGTCAAGTCTGTGCAGACAGTGGAACGATGACGAACACGAGTACGAGAAGAGTGGAAAGACATGATTTGATATATTCGAAGTAGTGTCAGAGTACTTACCTGTGAAAAATGCGTTGTGATCTCTCCAGTAAGCCCGTTGCCACCGGGACTCTCCATTCGCGGCGATCGCCGACATTTCCCCATGGTTGCCAAAAAGCATGAATCAGCTCCGACTCTCTTCTTTCTTTCTCTACAAATTCACAATGTTACTCGCTCAAAGGCCGATCCCAATTCCTTCCCCCACCTCATTCCCTTTCTCTCCATCATCCACCGTACTCCCTTCTACCGTCCCAGAAAATGCACCGGAACATTGTCCCGTGAGTCGCCCGGTACCTCTCCCTCTCCTTCCTCTTCACACTTTATCCCTCCACTTGCCAACCCATACCTCTCAGCCTTTCCTCCATGGTCACCAATATGACTTTACCACTTTGTCGAGCTGGTGTGTGTATGGAAGAGGGACTGATGTCAATAGGGCGTAGAATCATCCGACGCGGGTAAAGCGGATGCATGTGAAGGTTGTCCAAATCAAGCAATTTGTGCCGAAGGTCCTAAAGGTCCAGATCCGGATATACCATTGATTCGAGAGAGGATCAAGTCGGTGAAGAGGAAGGTTTTGGTCTTATCTGGGAAAGGCGGAGTTGGTAAAAGTACTTTTACAGCTGGTTTGTCTTGGGCTTTAGCGGCCGATGAGGAATGTCAAGTGGGTTTTCTTTTTGCTTCCCTTCTTGTCTCCTCTTCTTATCTTCTTTACTCGACTCTCCTTGTAGTTCGGCTGGTCACTCTTATGATATTCAGGCGATGCCATCTTTCAGAAATGTCTCCCGGATTGGTGCGTGAGTAGAGATATACATCAATAGAAGTGATGTCGTTGGAGATGGGAGATGGGAGATGGAGAGTCAGAATACTATCTTCAAGTCCAGAGCTGACCTTCAGACCGGAATCATGGACGTTGACATTTGTGGACCTTCCATACCCCTTCTCATGGGATTATCAAATTCTACCATTCACACTTCTTCATCCGGTTGGTCACCAGCATACGCGCTCGATAATCTCGCCGTCATGTCCATAGGTTTCCTCCTCCCTTCTTCTTCCGACGCTGTCATATGGAGAGGTCCTAAGAAAAACGGATTAATCAAACAATTCCTCAAAGATGTCGAATGGGGTGATCTCGATTACCTCATAGTTGATACACCACCAGGGACGAGTGATGAACATTTAAGTATCGTACAATATCTCAAAGAAGCAGGTATAGACGGTGCTATCTTAGTCACCACTCCTCAAGAAGTAGCATTACAAGATGTGAGAAAAGAAATTGATTTTTGTAGGAAAGTAGGGATACCTATCTTAGGTTTGGTGGAGAATATGTCAGGTTTCGTTTGTCCTAAATGTAATGGTGAAAGCGAGATTTTCGCCCCTACGACAGGAGGAGCTGAAGCTATGGGTAAAGAATTAGGAATTGAGGTTTTGGGAAAAGTACCTTTAGATCCTAGGATAGGTATGACAGGTGATAGGGGTGTCAGTTTTTTAGAAGAATATCCTGATAGTCCTGCCACAACGGCATATTTGGATATCGTACAAAGAGTTAGGGAGTTATTAGGAGATGCTTAGAAGAGTTTTGTCAAGTATTGTAATATTTTCGAAAGAATTCATTGTCAAAGTATCAATGTTTATGCATCTTCACCTTCATTTACATCCTCAGCAGCTTCAGCACCTTCATCTATTGGATCCTCTTCATCATCAATAGCTTCACCTTGTCCTTCTGCCATATTATCCCCACCATGTAATCTACGTAATTCACCATTAGCCCAATGAGGATCAACAATGACTTCACTCGCTTCTGCGTGAAATTCCATTTCACTCTCTTTGGGTTGTCGGAAAATGATATTGGCTCTATTCCAATGTTCCCCTGATTCCGGTTCGTCTGTTCGCTATTCCGTCAGCCCCCTATCAAACGAATAACAGTCAAGAGTGACAAGTAAATTATCGAGCTCACCTTGATTTTCTTCCTCACAGTACTACGCATCACAATATTGTTATACAAAACACCTTTACGTTTCTTACCATTCTCATCGTCCTCTTCGCCTTCATGAAAAGTGACCAATATCTCCTTATGTGGAGCTACTTGACTGACTACGTCGTATAATCTGATTCGTTCATACAAAAACTATCTGATCAGATCAAAATTGATGTCAAGAAGAGAAACATACTCCAGGTTTAGGCTTCTCATCTTGTTCTCCCTCCTCTTCACCCTCTTGTAACTTTATCAACTGTTCTTCGGCTAGTGGATGTTCTATAGATTCGTCCAATTTATCCAAATCCTCTTCTCTAGGTAAAAGATAAATGATATATCGTTGTTGCTCTTCGTCCTCTACCGGTCGCAACAAGGCTCTAGCTAGTCGACGATTCGAAGCGTCCGCTTGAGGGTTCTGTTATCAGTCGAGATCAATTAATAGGGACATACGGTGGCAGTTGCAGCTGAAGGTTTTTCAGGATATCGCATGAGTAAATAAGGATCTCCCCATCTTTCTGCGTCGGGTAAAATATCATATGTCTGATAATTAAATCATCTGTCAAATCTTCATGAAACGAACGACATACCTCCACCACACGTAAATCCCTTTTGTTAGGATCTGGATGTCGTAGAGCATCAATCTGGGTTTCTTCCAAATCTGAAAAAGTTTTATCGATAGCCATTATTTGAGCAGCTTCAGAAGCGTCAATATCTCCTTTCTCATCCCTCAACATCAGTCATACTTCTATCCAAGCATAGTTAAGCCATGAGAAGATGCTCACTTTGTCACGGTGTCCATTGCTGATCTTCTTTTCGCAGCATTCTTTCTCATACTGTAATTGGAATTTCTCATCCATGAATAATCTCGAGTCGTGTTGGCTTGTTCTACCCCGTTGGTGACTACAGGAGCATGAAATGGAATTAACAAAGCGAGATCCGTTTCATCTTTCACCTTGTTTGGATCAAAAGTCGGATTCAAGACTGTTTCATTAGTGAAAGACATATGGGGATTGAAATGAAGGAGCTCACTTTCATCATTACCATCCCAAACCCCATCGTAGGCGTTCAAATCAATTGGCATCCCCATTTCAGAATCCACAAGCATTGGTATTGGTGCGGAAGAGGATAAATGATCGAGATATGATGGTTCTCCCAATCGTGAGATGTTGGTAGGGACATTGAATAGTTTAGGAGGGTAAGGAGGGGCTATAAGAGGATTGGAATATCGAACTCGGACCAAAAGGTCCAGCTTACTACTAATGTCAGCACGGCTTTACCCACACCTGAAAGAAATGACTCACGATTTTTTCGACATGATGGAGGATGCAGAAGAGTTAAGAGATAAGAGACAAGTCAACTGGGTGGTTTCAACCGTTGAAGGCTTGCGGAGAGAAAGTGCGGAAGCAATTTACTTTCCCTCCCCCACCTCCTCCCCCCACTCTTTCTCTACCATACAACCATAGCATATTCGTAGCCCACATTCTGCTACTCATCTGAGCATGGCCATGATCATACAGAGGCTTCAACTCGTCTAGATAGTCATGAGCCATGTCGCTCTTTCTTCAGCACCAGACCAAGCCGATAAAGAGTTGTTACAACGGTTGATCACAGAAGGTCTCACACCTTCCAACGATCCCGACGCGTACGATTCAACGCGATATCGTAATCTTCTTCAGGTTCTCTTTCAAGCATGTATCCTTGGACCCGCATCAAATCCTCAACCACCCAGTCCGGTCGTCCTGGAACAAGCTATATATACCTTGAAGATACTCCAAAAACAGACCACTGCTCAGCCCGAACTCCTTCATTCCTCATCTTCAGACCAAGACACTCGACCCTTTTATCAATGGCTTCTTCCAAGACTGATCTCCTCCTCCATTCGACTTCAGAAACGAGAAGGATGCGAAAAACTACTCGATGAGATACAAGAGGCCGTACGTCAACTACTTCATCGGCTGAGGTACGAAACGCCGAGTGAGGATGCTACCTACTCACGAGGGTCCTTGCAGGCCGCAATGGCCGTACGAAATCTAGTGGATTATGCTGAAGGTAAGTTTCTCAATCTGCCCTACATTTCTGTCTGGTTAAGATTCAGGCATTCTGGCTGGCTCGAAACCTCGGCTGTTTGGATATCAAGAGATGATACCTGACTTATCTGTCGTGCTCTTCGTCTTAGACATCGTTATCGAGCCCAAAATTGAAGACCTCCTCCCGTACACCGATGACATCGCCTTGTCAGTATCTCGGTGTATTGTGTTTTTATCAAGAATCATCCCATCGTCTAATCTCCACAGTCAAATTACCTTTGTCAAGATCCTCTCGAGATACCTGCGGACGTATGGCGATGACCAAACTTGCGCTCAGCCATGTTTAGCTATACTGGACCTTCCCAACGATGAAGGAAATCCACAGCTTTCGACAGCGATTCTCGAGTTGTTGGAAGTTTTGTCGACATCCCACTCGGAGCTGCGAAAGCTACTCTGGTGGGGAATCCTCGAAAAAGCTGGGAGTTTACAGCTGGACTTGAAGGCGGATGTGGGGAAGTTAAAATTACTCTTGTCTGCTACACCAATTCCAGTCCCTGGTCGTCTGTTGAAGTTGCTACTGGATCAAAATCTCATCGATCAGTGGAGAATACAGACCAGAGCTCTAGAACCCACCACAGCCTCTGAGCTCTGGGCTCTGCTTGCCAAAATTCCAGGTCTGGTGGAACATTCCGCCTCCCCGCCAAAGAAACGTCAACGCAAAGAAGGAGGCACGGATGACAACCTTGCAATGATGCTTCAAAGCATTGCTCCTGGCTTCGGTCCAGTTGATTTTGACCACGAAAAGCTCTTAGCGGACCTTACTACATGGGCGGAATCGTGAGTCTTCTCAAATATTTACCCAATTTCGACATTGACTTCAGTGCCGACCTCACTGTTGTGGCGTCTCTGCGAAATAACCTAGGAAAACTCATGTGCAAGATGTGCGGTTGTCATGCTCATCGACCGTCCTATGAAAGATTTCTCCCTGACTCTGCTCTGGATCTTCTGGCAGTGATCATACGGCGAACAATGCTCGACGTGAAGTCACTCCAAGCTTTCGTCATACTAACCGATCATCTCCCTCTCTCGAAATGTGCAGCTGTGATGCAGAAACGACATCGACCGAAATTTCACGAGCAAGCGTTGGAGGGCCTGCGATCGTCAGACCGGCGCGTTCGCTTGGCCGCAAGGTGGGAAGAACATTTCCCCTCCAGATTTGTAGCTGATGACAGTCGGGTCGTATGCCGGTTATTCGACTGTCAATCATCGCATGTGGAACCAAGAATCGCCAAGTCGAATCGCTCGCTCCTTATACAGAAAACCAGGATGGTGCTTCAACTCGGTAGCTCGATCCAGGAAACGGCGTTGCTCACTTTGGGTCACATAGGAAGGGAGGCTCCCGATGAGTTGTTGCTTTCGGTGCTACAACCTCTTCTTCTCGCCCTAGGTTCGGTCGAATCACCTTTGAGAAGCTTGGCGTACTCCGAGGTAGGTCATTTCAATCAACAAGATTTCTAGCGATGCACTAAACTCCATCAGTTACTGGCTATAGCCAAGCATCGGAACAAAACGCCCTATACTCTGCTCTCCTCATCTCTTGATCAGATCAGTCTGCAACTCGCCCAGAACCTTGTGTCATGCCCCGATTTCGTCTCCGAGACCATGCACTTCATCGGATTCTCTCGTCAAAACTTCTTTGAAACGACTCTCCGCTTCACTGTCCCGTCGCTGGTCCTCACGTGCAGCAAGAAAGAGCTCGAGACTCTTTCCTCCATCGTGCAAGAAGGGCTCGGGGTCATTCTTCTAGATAATATTGCCGAGATCCTGGCGAAATTGTTCCTCGACCCCAAGCGAACGGACGGGAGTTTGACCTTCCTGGTTGACTTGCTTAGGAACCTCACTCGTCATAAAGCAATGGATTTGTCCGTGTCTTCCCTCATGTCGACCTGCATTGTCCCTCTCATATGCGCCATGGTAGTCGAATTGGGCAACGAAGATGCCTCAGTTCGGTCAAATGCCATCCGAGCCCTGTCAAAGGCTCAGAGAGCTCAAGGTTCCCTTCGAAAAGAAGCCGATTTAGGCACATTCCTTAAACCCCATATGTTGGGCGTCATCTCTCATCTTAATGAAACGCTTCACGATATACAAGGTCGCAAGTCTGTGGAGTACAAACGAAAGGTCATTCGCAGCATGGGCGAACTCATCCGTACAGTAGGGGACTCAATGTCATCATTCTCCCCGCAGGTAGGTCATGTCCTTGGCCACTTACACATTCTGACCCACAGATTGTCGCGAGTCTACAAAGCACCCTGGCGGTCGCCGAACTCCGTAAAGAAACTCTTCAAACGTGGGAGACCTTCATCAGTACTTTACGATTCGTCGATGTCGGGCCCTTCGTCGGCCGGACGACCAGCGCGTTATTGTCAGGCTGGAAGACCTTTGACTCGGTGGAGAAGCTTCAAGCTGTTGCCATAATCAACAATATCGCCGATAATGTCGAACATCTCGCCAGTTATCGCGATGAGATTGTTAGCTTGGATGGAATTCCGGAATTAACGCATGCTGCACGCAAGCTTACCGACCAACGCAGAAACTGGCCTTTGCAGAGGAGGATAGAAAACCTGATAGAGCGGATCAACAGCAAGAACGTCGCCTTGGCGACCACTTCAATGTCGGAATTACGAAATGTTTTGCTCAACCGCCAGGATGAACTTCGTGCCCTGTCCCGGGGCGATACATTCGAAACCATCATCGCTCGCCTCATTCGTAGCCTCATGTTAGCCATGGCTAGGGACAGCGATTATGAAGAAATGCGCGAGTCCGCATATGAATGTTTGGGAATATTGGGAGCACTTGATCCTGATCGTTTACCTTCCTTACCTGAACCACCTTCGATGACACTCATCAATAACTTCACCGATGGCGAAGAGGCGAAAGATTTCGCAGTACATCTCATACGCGATCTCCTTGTGGATGCCTTTCACGCGACAAATGATACGAAACATCAAATACATTTGGCTTTTGCAATACAACAATTGATGAAATTCTGTCAATTCACTCCCGCAATCCTCCTTCCTCGCAATACTGTCTCTCTTAGTACTCGAAGCAAATGGGAAGCCATCCCTAAGGACCAGTATGAAATCCTCACCCCTTTACTAGAATCTCGGTATACTCTGAAAGACGTACCTCCCAGGGAATACGAACATCCCATATATCCATCCACACCAACGTATCGAGAATGGGTCCAAAAATGGAGTGCAGATCTGTTGGGTACGATCCTTGCCATAAACCCTGTCAGTCCTGCGATCACCAATAGTCGTGAGATCTTTGGAGTTTTCCGCGGAGTTCTACGCAGTCAAGATGTTACCGTCGCCCATCACATACTTCCTCACTTGGTCCTGACAGTGCTCCTTTTTGGATCTTCAGATCACCGGACAGAAATTTGTTTTGAAATCAATACGGTCTTGCAAGATCAAGTCAATCCCACCGGTACAGTTGACAAACGAACTCTCAGCGCTCAAGTTGTCTTTGACTTGATGGATTATCTCAGCAAGTGGTTGAGAACGCAACGAACCTCACGTAGTGACTCCAAGTCTAAAACTGCGTCCGCCAATACCTTCGTCAAAGTTGTGGAGCAAGTCTTGTCCAGCATCGAAACTGAGCTCATGGCAAATGCGGCTTTACAGAGTAAAGCATACGCTCGTTCTTTGCGGGGGTTCGAGCAACGTATCATTCAATTGCGACTGGAGAAGCGACCCAACTTTGATCTTCAAATCTATTTCGAGAGATTACATCAGATCTATGCGGAGCTCGATGAACCAGATGGAATGGAAGGAGTTTCAGCATTTGTTCTCTCTCCCTCTCTCGAGCTACAGATCAGAGAACATGAGAGTACAGGTCGTTGGACATCAGCTCAAAGTTGCTGGGAGGTTCGTCTTCAACAGTCACCCGACGATATCTCACTGCATGAAGGTTTGCTCAAATGTCTCAAGAGTCTAGGCCATTATGGTGGGTTTCCTTTCTCTCGCATATACTTGCACCTAACATAAAAACCGGAACGGCGCAGAACCAATTTGGCTGGGAAAGCGTTCCGGTTTTTTTGTTAGTTGCCAGTAAGAACGTGTGCTGATCATCAGACACTCTTCGAACTCATATTCGTGGAGTGCTCAGTCGTCATCCCGACTGGTCAGATCGTCTTGCAGCCTACGAAGCTGAAGCTGCTTGGATCATAGGCGATTGGAATACGGTGGAACAAGTGGGTGACCGAGGTCCTGCTATAGGCAGAGTCTTGTCTACTTTACGTGAGAAAGGTGATTTCCCAAACATGCTGAAACAAGCACGCGCTCAAGTTGGCGGCGATCTCAAAGTCAGCCAGTACGGTCGAGGATACGATCATGTTCTTCAACTACATCTCTTACGGGAAGTCGAAATCATTCATCAAGCACATACGAAGATTTCAACAACCCATCCATCGGCAAATCGCCTTGTTATATTGCAGAAAGACGTGGCGGACTTACGCAAGACCCTCAATGAACGGCTATCTACAACTTCTCCGGCGTTCAGACATCGCGAGCTCATTCTCAGCATTCGCAGGACTACCTTCAGTCTACTTAAAACTCCGATTCTCAAGGACGAACTCGGACTCGCATGGATATCGACGTCTAAAGCCGCCCGGAAAGCGGGCTACGAGCAGACTGCCTACAGTGCAGCACTACAAGCGAGAGAGATGGACGCACCCTTTGCTTTCATACAGCAAGCCAAATTACTTCGCTCGAATGGAGATGCTTTCAAAGCCTTGATAGATCTCAAGAACTCGGTGACACCTTTGTTACAACAAACACAGGAGACCACGGACTTTACTAGGGATCGAAATCTTGCTAAGGTGAGTTTATTAGTAGCTGTGAGAGCTGATGACAGGCTGTCTTACTGGAAGCTAGATGGGCAAATGAAACTGATCGTTTCGAGCGTAACGACATCATAAGGCGATTCGTGGACGCGATTCAGCTAGCCCCAACGTAAGTTCATATGTCAAATTTTGACTGACCCCAGACTCGAGTCTCCATATTATCATCTGGGTCATTATTACGATTCCATGACTGGTTCTCCCGAAGTCGTGTGAGTGACAATACGCATTGACATTTTGGAGTACAATTGATGTTAGTGCTCAATACAATTATCATACTTGTCACAACTACATTCAAGCGTTGCTTCATGGTGTCAAATACATTTATCAGACCATGCCCAGAATGCTCACCATATGGCTGGATTTAGGAGAAAGCAAGGATCTGAAGAAGTGAGTCTACATCGTTTGAAGTTTGTTGACGATCAGATCATCCGAGACGCAACATTACTTGGATAAGATTACCGCTTTAGTAGATAAGGCGAGGAAAGAGCTGAAGGTTTACCAAGTCAGTCTTGATATGTTGATGAAATCAAGGTCGACAACTGACTGATAGTTCTTCACTGCCTACCCTCAGATCGTATCACGAATAGGTCATCTGAATCGAGAGGTTGCGGTGGTCCTGAGGAAGATCATGGCTTTGGTCTTGGCCAAATACCCTCAACAGGCCATGTGGCCAACAGTGGGGGTCATGCAATCCAATAGGCCTGAAAGGAAATCAGTATGTGAATGGGTATTGAGGAGAGCACAAGTAAGTCTTTGCCTGATGACCACGCCTAGCTTATGAGTATCAGCAAACCGATCCTAACATCGGACCACTCCTGAATGATGCGGAACGTCTTTCCCGACAACTATTGAAACTTGCGGATGACAAGTCGGAAGACAAGAAACGAGAAGTGACGATCAGTGGTCGATTCGCCTATGTCAAAGAAGCTTTCCCATGTCGGATGATTATGCCACTTCAAGATTCCCTCGTCTGTTCACTTCCTGCGCCAGGAGATGACATCAATTCTCATAGACCCTTCCCAGTTTCTCAAGTTGGAATACAAGGTAATTCCCAACGTACTTAAAGTGAGTCGTATTGACTTGCAGATATTGCCGAACGAATCGACATTATGCCTTCTTTACAAAAACCAAAGAAACTCACTTTTGTGGGAACCGACGGAAAACTTTATCCGTTCCTTTGCAAACCTCATGACGACCTACGTAAAGATGCCAGATTGATGGATTTCAACTCGATGATTAATAAATTTCTCAAGAGTGCTTCGGAATCTCGTAGACGTCAACTTTGTAAGTTATCCTGAGTTGACGATCGCTCATGATAGATGTGAGAACATACGCCGTCATGCCTTTGAACGAAGAGTGTGGTTTACTCGAATGGGTCAGTCATACGAATGCATTGAAGAATATCGTAGAGAAAGGTTATGCCAGATATGGAAAGAAACTCTATGTGAGTTATTCATATTGAAGAACGTTAAGGCTGATGGTAGAATCACGAAATACACAAGCTTCTTGATGATGCTCAGAAAAGTGGACCTGCGGCTCAAACCAAGGTATTCAAAGAATCCATCCTACCCATGTGAGTGATTCAAAAACGTCTTTTATGTGGTTCATGACTCGGGATTGACTTTACAGGTATACGCCCACAGTTTTCAATGAATGGTTTCTTGCCACTTGGCCAGAACCTTCAGCTTGGTTGGCCAGTCGAATGGCCTATGCCCGTACACTGGCTGTCATGTCTATGATTGGATATGTGCTAGGGTATGTTTCCCTCTTCCCATTTGATCTTAGTCACTTACGAAGACTAGTTTAGGGGATAGACACGGGGAGAATATACTCTTTGACGAGTTGACGGGCGATACGGTGCATGTGGATCTGAACTGTTTGTTTGATAAGGTAAGACTTTCATCTCTCACTCAGAATTTGCTGACTCGGACTAGGGTAAAACGTTCGAGATTCCCGAACGAGTGCCATTCCGTCTAACACATAACATGGTCGATGCTCTCGGGGTGACAGGGGTGGAAGGTGAGTGGTTTGGATTGTATGAACCGGACCTGACGGACAGGCGTCTTCCGAAAAGCGTCAGAAATCACTTTGTCAATCCTCCGTTCAAACAGCGAGGCTCTCATGTCGGTGTTGGAGGCGTTTGCCCATGATCCCTTGGTAGAATGGGCCCGACGAGCTGTCAGTCTCTCTATTCCCGCAGTGTGGAAGCTGGTCTGATGCGGCAGAACAAGAGCAAATCTAGTAAAGACATCCGTACCACTGCGGAGAGTAACCTCAAACCGATCAGAGCCAAGTTGAGGGGAATCATGGCTGAAAACACTGTCGTCTCTGTTCCCAATCAAGTCGACACTCTTATCAAAGAAGCGACCAACACCACATCTCTCGTGAGTAAATGTCCACCTGACCCTCGTCTTCTCTTGCGTAGCTGACGACCAGGCGCTCATGTATCAAGGATGGGCAGCATGGTTGTAACATGAATAGAAAGCCAGTGTACATGCATACTCGGTGTCTAGAACTTCATCTTGTGGAATTTGTCGTTCTTTGACAGACCCCAAGTGGTCTTCAAGTACTGAGCGAGTTTGTCGACCTTTTTAATGGCCGTGAGAAGGCTAGCGTCGACGGCCTATTCGTGAGCTCTTTGGACAGAGACTGGCCTTCAACTGAAGATGACTCACCTTTTGCTCAGATTTCTTCTCATCAGAAACGCCCTGACTCTCTTTCCCTTCACCGAAGAACTCGCCCTCTTTCGTTGACTTGGCGGCCTTGGCCTTGGCGAAGTAAGCGTCGTTGATGGATTCAGGAATGGAAACACCGGCAATGTCGACTCGTGTGGAAGTAGCGATGACATAAGCCTGGCTAACTCGACGCAATGGGACACCGTTCAATCTAGCATGTCAGCCTGTCACCTTAAAATTGACTTGAGACATACTTGAAAGGTCCAGTGACGAGTAGTAAACCACTGTCGAGTTGTTTGAGGAAGACGACACGTTTACCACTGTGACGACCGGCGAGAAGGATAAGGATAGTACCGGGGGTTATAGATGCGCGAAGAGCGGTTTTACCGTTCGTCTTGCGGGATAGTTTGGGTTTACGGACGTCCTCAGCAGGATAGTATTTGGATGCTTTGGTGGTTGGCACCAAACGTTTCTCGCCGTTGGCCTTGCCGCCAACAGTTTTCTCCACAGTCGCAGGAGTTTCTGTTTTAGGAGGGACGGTGGAAGTTTTCTTCCCTGTTCATATCAGTTGCTGGTTCCTTGCTGAACTACGAAGGGTGTGTGAATGTGAGTTACTTTGTGGACTAACCTTTGTGAAGACCTCTCTTAGCGGCCACTTGAGACCGAGAAAGGTGCCCGATGTGAGGCGCCAAATGCTTTGAGCGTGCCATCTTTTTGTCAGATGGAGACATTGTAGAGATAAGACTTGATTACTGACCTTTGCGAAGTTTACCTCGGATGGTGTGTTCGAAATGGACCATGGGACATAGGTGAAGGGGGGTTCGGAGATAACGGGATTCTATCATGTGGCGGAACTTTTCTTTGGTTTGTTAACTCCGATCTCCACGATACTGGACCTTACAAATGTCACTTCGCTTCTTCGCATTCCTTGGGCATCCTGTGCAATGTCCAATGCACAAGACCCCAATTTCCCTAGCAATCTCTCCATTAAGCCTCTGGAGATAGGTTCAGGTCGATCTGATTATCAAAAACAAGCCGAAGACATCGATAGATATGGTATCGCCGGTCGTGTATGGTCCGTTCTTCAATCCCACTGAATTATTATCTCTCGTTTACGACTTAGGGAAGGTGGCTCTGCTCTATTGAAATATTTTACTCCTGACATTGCATACGACCCACCATGCTCCCTTCTCATAGGAAGTTCATCTAATGCTCCGTACAGAATAGTCGAGCTCGGCTCCGGTCAATCCGTTCCCTCTCTGCACCTAGCTAGTATTCTGTCCCCTCATGACGTTCTCATTCTCACCGACCTACCCGACGTTGTACCTCTCTGTGAAGAAAGGGTTTTAGAGTGGGAAAAGTCTCATGCCAATGGTCCGCTTATGAAAGTTGAGGCTCTGGCATGGGGAGGAGACGTGTCACGAGTGAGAACATCGGGTCCATTGAGTCACATCCTTCTTTGTGATCTGGTACGTCCCATTTAAGCATTTGCTGATTATGGAAACCTAAGCTGAAAACTGTAGATATACTTCCCTCAGCTATACCCACCCTTACTGCGGACCTTACTCGAGTTGACGGAGCCCAGCTCTCCACCCGAAGATGACGTCTTCGGTCCTGAAATCATTTTGTCATGTGAGTGACGGTCCAGCCTGCTCAAGCCCAACATGTACGAGCTGAGTCGGCAGATTTCTCGAGAACATTAGCCCTGGAGCAAGCCTTCTTCGACGCTCTCGCTCTGTATTTTCAGATGACACCCGTGACGGGGGGCGATTGGGAGGCACGCATCTATATATGCAGACGGTGGAGAATAACTACAGAATGGAAATTGCCAGAGCTACATGAGGTCATGAACGGCATGGAAGGCGTTATACGAGGCACTTCAAGATCGTACGGGCTCATAGACCAGTTGTTCGGGGAACTGGAATGGGATGCTGACTGATTGGGGATGTCATAAGAAGTACTCGATGGCCTGGGTATCAGCAAAGTGAGCGCGTATTTGTTGTATGACATACTTTTGCCGTTTCTTGTTGCGCGGGACCATCTCTCTACCACGTCAGCGCTATCAACAAGCTGTGCAACGGACGTACTTCATTCTCTGGAGCGGCGGCAAAGACATTGAAAAACTTTTTGTTGCCAGGAGACACTTCCAGTATACTCGCCATGTTACCGCATCTCACAGTCAGCGTTCAGTATAACGTACGGAGTCGGTAATACTCACCTGTAACAGTAATTTGGGGCACTCCAAACGGTGCTTAGTTGGTCGTTGTATAATACCGAATACCCCTCCATGCAGAGCTGATGAGCCCGGAGGACATGGTTCATACCGTTGAGATCGAGAAATTTCCGTACGATAGACGCCCCGAACGTGTAGCCCGCACCTCTGTCGAAGTCAGCCAAGTTGACTCAAAAGAGTAATTTACCTTGGACTGATGGCGAAATCTTCTTTCTCCGGATCTGGATCTGACCAGACGAGATCTGCCATGGGACCTTCATGTGGAATCTCTCGGAATCGGTCGATGATCTTGATTTGGTCGATATGATGTATCGAAGGACTGAGACCTCCGTGAACGCAGAAGATAGCATCGTCGATGACTACGCTCAGGGTGAGGAAATCAAACATGTCGGTAAAGTATCGCCAAACCGTCGGAGACCCATATTTGCGGGTACATTCGAGGTAGAATCCATAAGTCTGACCGAAGTCAGCGTGACTCCATCGAAAAAGAGCAAGCATCAGATTTCCGTTCTCTCTTCTTCACCTCTCGTGGGTTTCTCTCTGAGCGTACCACATTCGAGAAGTGAAGGGCTATCCATTGGCTCGAAAGCCTCAGAGTCCTCTTTTGAAATTCTCATCATATGCCTGCGTATAAAACGACTGACCTGTGTGACAGCTCTAGATTCGTGGTTACCCCGGATGAGCTGAACTCTCTCCGGATACCGTAGTTTCAGACAGGTGAGAAGGGAAATTGTTTCGACAGAGTGCAAGCCCCGATCGACGTAGTCACCTAGGAAGAGATAGTTGGTATTAGGGGCTGATCCGCCTATGCGGAATATTTCGATGAGGTCGTGAAACTGTCCGTGGATATCGCCAACGACTGTGACGGGAGCAGCGACGTGAACGACGTTGCTCTCCCTCATCAACACCTCCTTGGACTTTTCACATATCTCCCGAAGGACCGCTTCGTCAAGGAGCTGTTTGTTTCGTAGGCATTCGATGCACGCGTCTAGGTCGAACGGCGCCATCCATAGACGGCGAAGAAAGTAGAATGTAGTCGGGCGAGATTGTAGGTAACAAATGGGGTTTAGGCCCATCGCCAGGAAGAAAGACAGAGCAAGCACTTGTGCTCAATAGGCGCGTGTAATGTCATTGTCAACTGTCTGTAGGCGCGCGAGAACGAGGGCAGCTGCTCAGTTGCTTGCCACCACTACGATGAGGCTGTACTTACTCGTGCTACTTACTCTACCCTCCTCTTCGTCAGGGAGTTCGACAAGACATCATGTGAGTCACCTACCTCATCGTGTTATCGCCAAGCTGAGATGAAAAGGTTCGGTCGCGGTGGCCATGGAGGCGATTATGATGACTATCCCACCGTTCGAGCAGCTGCCCATCTCCACCAACCTACCCGTCCGGTCGACAAGGAGAAGACCGAAGCGGAACTCAGCGTGAACATCAAGAAGGCTACCAGTGCCGAGGAGACCGCCCCTAGTGAGTCGTGCACCTTGTGGAATGGTTTGACCAAGCTAAACTTGTCAGAACAGAAACATGTGCGCAAGTGTATCGTCTACACTTGGGATTACCACTCATCTCTTTCCGTGTGGAATGGATTGCGTACCCAACCAATCCTAGCAGACGAGGTGCAGACGTTCAAATGTCTCATTGTCGTACATAAACTCCTACAAGAGGGACATCCGATTGTGAGTAGAGCGTAGCCAGCTTGACTCGCCTGACCGGCAGACCCTCAAAGAGGCTCACGCTCAAACTGGCTGGTTGGAAACATGCGGTCGGACGGTTGGCGATGGTTCCAAAGGGTATGGACCTCTCATCAAGGCTTATACGTCGTTCCTTCTCGCCAAATTACGATTTCATCGACATCACCCAGAGTTCAACGGACTATTCGAGTACGAGGAATATATCAGCTTGAAAAACATTGACGACCCCAATGAAGGGTAAGTTTTGTATGCCTGACTGAGTTGACATCAGATACGAGACCATCACGGATTTAATGACACTTCAAGATCAGATCGAGTCGTTTCAAAAGCTCATATTCACTCACTTCCGTGGCTCAGCGAACAATGAGTGCCGGATTTCAGCTTTGGTGCCACTGGTCAAAGAGAGTTTCGGTATCTACAAATTCATCACTAGCATGCTGCGGGCCATGCACAGAAGTAAGTCATCTTGCTACTTAATGCATTGCTGATGTGTAGGAACGGACGCCATGGACGCACTCTCACCCCTTCGTGACCGCTACAACGCTCAGCACTACAATCTCCGCCGTTTCTACTACGAATGCTCGAATCTCAAATATTTGACTGGTCTGATCAACGTTCCCAAACTAGGACAAGAGCCTCCGAATTTGCTCGACAACGGTAGCGCCCCAGACCTCCCCGAGCGACCAAAGGCCGAAGTCCGAAAGGAGACTCCCCGACCGAACTCGCCCACAGCTACGCAGAGTGAAATCGATGAACAGAGGCGCATGCTTGAAGAGTATGAGCGCAAGCAGTCTGGGCTTGTTGCTCAGAGGGATGCAGAGAAGAGGCGACAGGAGGAGGAGAAGCGACGACAGGAAGCCGAGTTTGCGGAGCAACAACGATTACAACAAGAACGTGAGCGGCAGGCACAAGAGCAGCTGTTGCGAGAGCAGATGAGTCAGCAATGGACGTCGCAACAAGCCGGTCAAACTGCTCAGTTACAACAGGAGATGCTTGCAATGAGGGGACAGTATGAGCGTGATCAGATGTTGCTGGAGCAATACGATCGGCGCGTCAAGTCACTCGAGAGCGAACTCGGTCTGATCGGTGCCAATGTTGGGGCTCAGATGTCGGCCAAAGACGAACTCATCGCGCAGCTGCAAAAGCAGATCGAGATATGGAAGAACAAGTACGAGGCCTTGGCGAAGCTGTACAGTCAACTCAGGAACGAGCATTTAGATCTCCTCAACAAAAGCAAAGGTTTCCAACTCAAAGCAAACTCGGCGCAAGAAGCGATTGACAAGATGGAGAGGATGGAGAGGGATGTCAAAGCCAAGAATTTGGAGCTGGCCGATATGATCAGAGAGCGTGATAGGGCACGATACGATGTTGATAGACTCAAATCGGTGAGTAACATGGAAGACTAGTGAACTTAGCTGAACCTCTTCAGAGTCACCGGGAGGAGATTGAACGACTCAAGAGAGATCTATCGTTTGCAAATGAACGAGCGGAAGATGCGTCTCGCAACAAGAGCTCGGAGGTCTCTGGCATCTTGTCCAAATACAATCGTCAATTAACTGAACTCGAGGACTCCCTTCGCGTTGGTGTTTCTCCTTCAAAGCTTTGAGATGTTACTGATCGTACTTCAGTCAAAGCAGCTCCAGATCGATGATCTGTTTCACAAACTCGACTCGAAGGACTCTGAACTGGCTCGTGTGGTAGAAGAGAAAGAGCAAGAGTTGCTGATCATGCAAGAGGGCATAGACTCGACCTTGAAGGAGCTCAGTGACTTGAAGCTGGTATGTCACACCTTTCTCTCATTCAAGTAAAGAACTTATGAGCAGACACAAGGCGACACTAGCCAGGCATTCGATGCGCAAGTTGACACTCTCATCCTCGACCACCGCAAGGAGCTTAACGCGATCATCGACTCCATCCTACAAGCCTGCGTGCAGAAGGTCGACGACGCGATGTACGAGCTGGAAGCCCCAATGCAATCCGGTAACACTACAGCAACGCCGGAATACACCCTTTCCATTATCGAAAAAGCAGTCACCAATGCGACCGAGTTTGCGTCGACCTTCAACCTGTTCCTCGGTAGAAAAAGCGGAGGAAGTCATGTCGACGTGATCAAAGCAGCCAACGAATTTGCACAAGCCATGGCTGAAACGCTTGTCAGTTCCAAGGGCATCACTCGATTTGCCGACAACGATGATTCGTCGGACAAGCTTATCCGAGTCGCAAAGGCATCGGGAGATTCGGCACAGCGGTTCTTCTTAAATCTCCAATCTTTCCGACTGATCGCTGGCGGCAAGACTGAAGACATTGCTCTGCGCAACAACGCGGAGGTCCGCGGTGCTCTGTCAAAACTTTCAGAGACGGTTGAGAAGTTTGTCCCGAAGACACGATCAGCCTTGGTCGGCGCGAACGGTGATATTGGTGATATCGTCTCTCACGAGATGCAAACGGCCGCTCGGGCCATCGAGGAAGCGACTCAACGACTCCAGGATCTCATGCAACGACCGAAAGGACCTAAATACAACGCTCTCGACGTGCAGGTTCATGATGCCATCTTGGAAGCCACAATGGCTATCACCAATGCCATCGGTAGATTGATCCAAGCCGCCACGGAGAGTCAGGAGGAGATCGTACGGGAGGGTAAAGGAACGAGCACGACTCAACAGTTTTACAAACGTAACAACCGATGGACAGAAGGTCTCATCTCAGCCGCCAAAGCTGTGGCATACGCTACCGGACTTCTGATCGAAAGTGCCGACGGTGTGATATCCGGAACACATTCTCTCGAACAACTCATCGTCGCTTCCAACGAGGTTTCAGCTGCTACAGCCCAACTCGTCGCTGCTTCACGTGTAAAAGCGTCTCTCATGTCCAAGACACAACAACGTCTTGAGGTCGCTTCGAAAGCAGTGACGGATGCTTGTAAAGCTCTAGTGAGACAGGTAAAACTCATCTCGAACCAACAGAGCGACGAAGACGCCGTGGATTACAAAGCCATGCCATCACACGAATTTAAAGTGAGGGAGATGGAACAACAAGTCGAGATTTTGAAGTTGGAGAAAGATTTGGGTGCTGCTAGGAGACGATTGGGAGAGATGAGAAGAGCTGGATATCATCAGGAAGCAGATTGAGTGCATATATTCAAAACTTGAGATTATTCTGTATTTTCTGTTATACCCAATAAGCTTTTGACTTGTTCTCTGACTTGTCTTTCGAATTCTTGTTTATCATCTCTGTATAATTTACAGCACTGTTCATTAGTCTTCATCCCCAAGCACTAATTAGCGTGATCAAAATCAAAGCACTCACCTCGACATTTGCTCCACTTTCAATGTTGGGTTCAGCCAACATGCTCAATACGCTAAGCAAAACGCTTCTAACTCCTTGTACGGGTGACCATCGTTCAGAAGCAGATTCGTACCTCAACGGATCGTCACCAGGTGCATGTAAGATAGATATGCAGACTTCGCCATTTGGGTATACTGTAAGATCAACGGATGCGGGTAAATGTGACGGGCTTTTACTCACTATTAGGGTGTAAGAGGGGAGGTTCGAATATCATCTTGAATGGATTGAGAGGATAGTCAGGGGGCTAACAACGTTCAGCGAATTGACACTTTCACAAACATCACGACGAGTAAGGAAGACAGTATGAGTGAGTGAGTGAGTAGCTGAAGTAGAATTGATACTGACGAATATAAGTTTAGCAGAGAAAATACCTCCTTCCTATAGACCTACATCAGCATAACAATGGTGAGAGATGATGAATTGACTCACATAAGGAGTACCTTCCGGTCCTTGTATCAAAGCTTCCCATTCTAACATATTATCCTCTGATATAGGTCCAGCAGTTATGGAGTCTTGTAATGGATCGGCTGTGATGTCTCGGTATTCTTTCATCAATCTGACGTGAGTGATTGAACGGGCAGGAGACGATGGGGAAAGACATACCGTCTGGTGGCGGTAGAGGATTGAGCACGGGGATTGGAACCGAACATGATGAGATACAATGGTGGATATCGATGCGCAGTATGATTGTAGAGTACTATGCTCTTGGAGGGTACTTGCAAAGTTTAGTCAATGAAAAGAAAGTCGGTGATAGACAAAGGGAGAAGAAGAGGAAAGTCAGTGAGACAGCGGCTAACTACAAGAAGTCAAGAAGCCGACACGTGGCAATGAACTGTAAACATCTGGATATTGAATGCATGCTAGAGACTTTGTACGGGAATTACATAGACAAATGACTGCCCGATGGATATCTCTACAAGTACAGGCCCGCCGGCTACAAAGTCAGCTATCACAAATTCGCTAGTGAAAGCAAAGCGACTCACGGTGTTCTCGTCCTTGTTGTAGAGCACCTTCTCACGAGCAGAGGTAAAGTCCTGAACCTATTAGACATGCTCAAGACTTGCAGTTTATCACTCACGGCTTTGGTCACTCTCATACGTCTTTCTCGGAGAGCCAATAGACCTGCTTCAGCTGACAGTGAGCTGATTTTTCCCTAACACTCGAGAGATTGACCCACTGCATACAGCCTTGATATCCGCACCTGACAGATCGTCTTTTGCCATGATCAATTCTTCCAAATCGACGTCCTCAGCCAATGACATTCGTGATGTATGAAGCTTGAAAATGTGTCGTTTTGTTTTCGTATCTGGCAGTGGGAACTCTATTCTATCAGTCTTGCTAGTTCACGTTGTATGTGATGACTCACCAATCTTCCGGTCAATTCGACCTGGGCGGATAAGAGCTGGATCAAGAGTCTCGATCTTCACGTCAGCACCCAAACATCACGATTTTCAACGTCAAGGATAAGGGTAAGAAAAGAGACATACTCTGTTGGTGGCCATGATAACTTTCACATCCCCACGAGTATCAAAACCATCTAGTTGATTCAGGAGTTCCAACATTGTTCGCTGAATCTCTCTTTCTCCTCCAGAAGTCGAATCGTATCGTTTCGTACCAACAGCATCGATCTCATCTATGAAAACGATACTTGGAGCGTGTTCCTCTGCCACACGAAACAGTTCCCGTACAAGCTTGGGACCATCCCCGAGATATTTCTGAATAAGTTCAGAACCGACTATCCGTAAGAAAGTTGCTGATGTTTGATTGGCAACAGCTTTGGCGAGTAGAGTTTTGCCCGTCCCGGGTACACCATACAATATCACTCCTTTTGGAGGTCGGATACCCATCTCTTCGTATAATTCCGGATGAGTGAGAGGTAGTTCGACCGACTCTTTGATTTCTTGAATCTGCGTTTCGAGCCCACCGATGTCCGCATAACTCTCCGTAGGAGCTTTGTCAAGCTTCATGACTGATACCATTGGATCTGCATCATCCGCGAGAACACCTACGATGGCATGTGATTTGTGCTGTGTCAAAACGGAACAACCCAGTTCTAATTGATCCTTGTCGACAAAAGACATGATGCTGACGTAGTATTCTGATCCACTACCGATAGATACGATGGCATGTTCATCATCGATAATCTCTTCTAAAGTTCCAACATCCATTGGAGACCCTCGAAGTTCATCCACCATAGTTCGATCTGCTGCTGTTCGATCTTCTCCTGTCTGAGCAGCTTGATTGGCCACAAACTCCTCTTCCATCAGCAGGTAATCTTTGATCCTCTCCATTTTGAGCATTTTGAGCTTGCATCGAGTAGTCGGGAACACGGCGGGTAAACGAGATGAAGCTTCAGGACCACGTCTCTTCTTCTTTCCAACACGAGTGGGTACGGGAGGTTCCCATTTAGGTTGCTGAGGCTATGAAACGAATCAGCTCTTCTCACTCGAGGGGATGGAATGTCACTGACCTTGTCTTTCCCAGGTTTTCCAGCGTCTTTACCGCCGTCAGCTCCACCAGCGTTAGTTGAGGCGCCTTGACCCTGACTATCAGATTCCCTTCAATGACCCAAAGCACTAAGAGCTTACCATGTTCAGTACGAAGGAATTTTGAGTGTAGTAGTGGAGAGTGGATGTTCGCTAAGATACCTCGGGACGCGCGTTGAGAGTTTGAGCTGACATGACAGAAGAGAGTTATCTTATATCACCCTCCCCCTTTATATCACGTGATTCGCCACCCACTATGACATCTTCTGAGCCTTCGTGTCAAAACATCCAACTTTTCCATACTTACTCCCTCGTGTAGCACCAAGCGGCCAAGATGAATGCTCTCAAATCGTGTATGTGATCTCTGATTGAAATATGAAGTGTATGCTTACGTCAACAGTGGTGAGCAAAATGCTCGGTGAGCCTTCCTTCATTGTCCAAGAGCTTAGGGTCTGACCACAAGGCAACGCAGCCAATCCTGATCTCGTACAACTATCTGCTGGACAGCTGTATCATCTACGGCCATCTCCTACAAGAACAGAGAGGATCTGCATGTGAGTGAACTTCATGTTTTTCGTTCTGACGACCAGTTACAAGGACGCAGTCGCTACTATCCGCCGTACGGATGTCAAATTTCAGTACCAGTTGGTCGTGGCCCAAGCCTATGAAGAAGGCGACGAGCAGGATGACACGGATGACGCAGAAAGTGAGAATATCTTAGAATATTTCCAAGAGTCTTGCTGATCCAAAGTCGACGACGAGAAGAGCTTTCTTGTGGACGTGGCTTTACAATTTCGCTTTGGCGAGATTGACGGAGATTGGAATTGCACCTGGCGTGATATTGATGGGGAGGATCAGTTATGGGAATTTGTCTCCAGCAAGGTAAGACGATTAACAACAATTTTTTCACTGACGGTCGCAGTCTGTGCCTTTGGCCACGAATAAGCTATTCGAATTGACAATCCTCAATTGCGTCTATGAACGAGTGCGTCCATCTGGATACGAGCTGAACCTGTCTGACATCTGTAGAAGCATCAAACCTCCCACGAACTAGCCGCTGAGGATGATATTGCTGCCATTAGAACAGCCATGCTCCAAGGAGACGCTCCGAGTGTCGAAGAACACGCGCCCGTCGCGGACCCATTCAAAGACGTTCCCGTCCTAACAAAAACGCCAGCTGAGCTGTATCTTTTTGACACAGAAGCGGACCTCTTTGTGGTTCAAGAGAACACAGTGGACGTGGAAATCGCAGCAAACGCGGAGTTTGACAGTGCGTCATTTTTCTGAATTGTTCCTGCAATGCTGATTGACAGCTTGGATCATAGTCCGTCAAAACCTCACCCCATTCATTTCTGTGCCAATTGATTCAGAGATGAACCCTCTTTTCGATATGGTATGTGTATGATACATCTTCTTCGCTGCTGATATTCAGGCAAACTACGCTTTCATGTTCACCTTCCGTGAACAGGATGGATTACCACCCATGACCTGGTGTCTTAAATTCTCAGCCGACGCCTTCCAACAATGGAAGGACGATTTCATCATGTATCTATGGGAGGGTAAGAATAAGATGAGTTACGCAAAAGCCAAAGCGGATGAACGACGATATATACAAGAAGCATACGAAGATGTGGAAATGGCCGAGCCTGAGGAGGAAGAGGAAGTTCCAGATGAGGTCGAGGAGGAAGAACCATCGGAACAGAGCTATGTGGAGGATTCCGATGAAGGTCCAAGTGATTCCGAGCAGTTTGCAAAGGGTTCAAAGAACGAACAATTGGCTGTTGGTTATAAGAATGATCTATCATTTGTCGCTCGAGGGGATATGATCGGGGTGTTCGCTCAGAAAGAAGATCGCATCAAGTTCCGAGCTGCCATCGATAGAGTCAAAGATACACACGGCAAGAGTTTTTCACCAGCAAAGGTATGTCTGAAGATGCAACCTCTACCAAATCATGCTTATACTCAGATGATGCTTCATAATCAAGACAGCGATATGTTATTGCTCGATCCAGCCAATTCCGGGTCGGTGTACAGAATGGATTTGGAATATGGTAAAGTTGTCGACGAATGGAAAGTTCATGATACTGTCCAAGTGAACAACATTGTACCTCAGTGAGTGACTCTTCCCTACTTATCTATTTCAAAGCTTATTCCAGGTCCAAATACGCTCAAATGAATCCAGAGCAAACTTTCCTTGGAACATGTAGGCCTCCCTTTTAACAAATGCGCTTTCTGCTGATATGTAAGCTCATAATGGTCTGTTCCGGATAGATCCCCGTGTATCAGGTAACAAGTTGGTGGAAAGTCAGTTCAAGCAATACTCCACGAAGAACGACTTTTCCGCAGCGGCCACAACAGAATCAGGAAGAATAGCAGTAGCTAGTAATAAAGGAGATATTCGATTATTTGACCAACTCGGGAAGAATGCAAAGGTAAGTTCATTACTTATCACTCATCACTCCAAGTCGAGCTGATAAAAAAGACAGCATTACCAGCACTTGGTGATCCTATTTTAGGTGTGGACGTCTCAGCCGATGGTCGATGGCTCGTGGCTACTTGCAAAACATATCTTCTGCTCATCGATACTTTGATCGGCGATGGAAGATATAAAGGTTCATTAGGATTTGATCGTAGTTTTCCCGCGGATAGCAAACCTGTTCCACGACGATTACAACTGAAACCTGAGCATGTGGCATATATGAACGATCCTGTATCTTTTACTCCAGCTAGGTGAGTCTACTGAAACTGGTGTAAGATGAAAATACTGATGATAGATTTAATACCGGATTGAACGAAACGGAAAGAACTATCGTTACTTCCACAGGAAGATATGTCGTGACTTGTGAGTGGCCGTTTTCATCTCAATTCTTATCTGACGTGATAGGGAATTTCCGTCGTATAAAACAAGGAAGAACGGATGACTATCAAATCAAGGTAAGGCCAAACCTGAGCGATTGATAAGACTAGCACTGACCCAATAGCAATACGATTCGAAAGTCGTCGCGGACAATTTCAACTTTGGAGCAGATAGGAATATTGTGGTCGCTTTGGAACATAACGTGTTGCTGGCTAATAAGAAGGAATTGAGTAAGGTGAGTGATTCTTCACTTCTGACATTGATTAAGAATGCCACTAAAGTGTCAGCCGACAAGATCATCTTTAGCATCTAGGGCGATCTCAACGAAACCGGTAAAGTCACGTAACGATATTGTTGATAGTCCATATTGATCAGATCTGAATGTTGTTATGTATGACTTATGATGCCGCCCAAAGTGGGCGTTACAATGCGCCTCAATCGTGCGAGATTGGTCATATGATATGGCCCTCTCTGACTTCGCTCGGGGACAGACATCTTTACTCAGAGATGTACACTGCTTCTCCTTTATTCCCTCCGGTGACTCATTCAGTCTTAGCATCGGAGCCTTACAGGTCAAGCATAGAAGTGAAGGAAGATTACAAGGAGGCGACTCGAGTTGGTACATCCCTGAGGGGGAGTGTCACCGCTTATGTGTGTTGCTCCCGTGATGCCTCCCCTTTGCAAAGGATACCAACCTCTTAGCCTGTCAATCTCATTCTAAGAATATCATGGTTTCATGTCAGATTATCTGATAAAACGTGCATCGAGAAAGAAGCAGAAACAGAATCGAGAGCGAGTTGTTATCATTTTTCGAAGTGAGAAAAAGGAAAGGATGTAAAATGGGCCCTGCCGTCATTCCTCGTTATCCTACTGCCTACGTTTCTTGATGTTGTTAGAGAGCTAAAAGTGGTCAGTATGAACTCAAAACAGATTGCGATGGGAGAGATTTACCCATTCCAATCCCTCGTACAAACCATCACCGGAAGTAGCACAAGCTGCTTGGATGTACCAAGCGCGTTGACGTAGTCCTTGAAGACCCAACTTGTCTGTGATTTCGGAAGCGTTCATGGCGTTTGGAAGATCCTAGTGGTCAGTGTCTCTTGATTCCTGATTCCCTTCCAATCAATTCACGATATATGATTGGAAAGGGTAATGGCACAATGAAAGGTATAATGTTGATGAATGATCTGGTTCTCACCTGTTTGTTGGCAAAGACAAGGAGAAGGGCATCTCTAAGTTCATCCTCGCTCAACATCCGTTGAACTAAATGTATCAGCATTAATCTACAAATTGTTATAATGTGAAGAGAAACTCACGTTCTTCCCTAGCCTCCGAAATACGTTCACGATCGTTAGAATCAACTACGAAAATGATACCCTGAGTATTCTGGAAATCTATATCATTTCAGTCATGTTTTATTTTTTGGTACAGACACTGGAAATGAACTCACAATGTCGCCACAAAGGCCTAATCTTATCCTGACCACCAACATCCCATACGGTAAATGAGATATTTTTATATTCTACCGTCTCGACGTTGAAACCTGTCACGAGTGAGTCATTTCACCCTTGGTCGATTGATGGTATTGAAGAAAAAACTGACCAATGGTAGGTATAGTAGTCACGATTTCTCCAAGTTTAAGCTTGTACAGAATCGTCGTCTTTCCAGCAGCGTCAAGACCAACCATGAGGATACCTGCACGCGACATTAGCGGATTTGACATTGATAAGAATGAAGAAGAGATGAACTCACGCATGTCCGTTTTACCGAACAAGCCGGATAGGAGTTTACTGATGCTTAACCCCATTGTGATGAATGGTATAAGAGAAAGAGAGAAAGCTGAGTTGGGATATGGGAAGCTTTCAGAGTAAGATTAAAGGGGGTGGTGGAGACGGTTCGAGACGCCAGCAAGGGCAAGGGGGGGACAGACCCATGCCACCGCGATGTTGCCGTATAACGCCGTTGAGAGATGGGTTGTGGCGGAAATGGAGGAGAGTCGTGGCGGTGATGGCCGCCTTTCAGTCCTCTCTGAAAAGAACAAGTCGCACGTTCGCTCTTCCGCTTTGCTCTGTTCTTTCTCAACCTGCGAGTCCCCTAGCCTGCTGGTAGCTGGTAGCTGCTAGCTTCTATCTCGCAACCTCTATATATCATCCTTCACTTCTATAACACCGAATAAGTGAAGCATAGTCGAGCTCACCTCTGCCCTCAGATCATTAATAGAAAATGTCTATCTCACCTCTGGCTTCCTCCTCTCAACAGAATACCGCTCCTCGAAGCCGTCTTGATCATATCGCCGATGCCTTTTTCCATCCGTTAGTTTATCATCCTCTTCCCATGAATATCATCGCTGACTTTCCAGCTTCTCTAGCAAAGCACTCGACCTACTCCCCCGCGGAGGACAAGGATGGCGAGCAAAGAGTAAACGAGCGGATCGTATACCGGATGATCCGGACCGAAGTCGAGTGGCTGATTATCATTCCATTAATCAACCCACTATGACCATCCGAGTACCGAGTGAGTCTATGTCAGCACGCATGGCTTTAATCTGACTAGAAACAGAAAAAATATCAACTCCCGTAAAGGTAGAAGCGAAAGTATGGTTCGCTAATGAAAGAACATTCATTTCGTATCTCTCCATGGGTGTACTATTAGCAACCATCGCCTCGGGACTCTTGTTTGGGGCCCGAGATTCTCGGGCTAGATACTTTGCCCTGCCTATGCTTTCATGTGAGTGAAATTTATACGTGGACCGAACATTTGCTCATGGTAGTTCCGCCGCTGTTCTGATATACGGCTGGGCTATCTTTCAAAAACGATTGACCATGATATCTGCTAGAGATCCTCGTAGCTTTGGTCAGTGATATTTATGGAGTCTTTTGAGCTTGCTAACGGGTAGATCTACTGGTTGGACCGCTGCTCATCTGTGCCGCTTTATTCATTGCCGTCTTGGCCAACTTCATCTTCCGTCTGCAAGAAGCTCGTCAACACACAAATCTGAACCCGCTTTCATTTCATGTGGCATGGGCGATGGCTCAGAGCAAGTCAGGAATGTCTATAGTCCAGTGATGCATTCGTGAAGCCAAAATTGTATGTCGTCGATGATATATGATCCCACGATTGTGTTTGTTCAAAAGTGAGAGTATTGGGAAAGTATTAGAGAAGGACCTGGTTGGCAGAACTTTTATTCAATGATTTCTGCGGATGTCAACCGAGTGTGATTTGGCATGATGATAGCACTTACGTTGGGAAGTACAATGCAACTCCTGACGTGTGTCTCGGGAGTCAATGTCACTTCGGTTCCTACAAAGTCAGCAAGGGGCTTATTGTATCGGGCTTTGAGCTCACCAAGGATCGTGACGCTGATCTGCCCCTTGACCCCTGACTCAGGTTCGGGAGACCCATCTACTCGTGCCCATGGACCAATGTGACAGTTCATCCCCACGATACTATTCAACACACATGAATGTTGATCCAGAGTTGAGCCTTCGAGGATTATGGCGTCTTTGACTCTGACCCCTTCGCCAACTTGACAGTGAGGTCCTATAGCGACGTTCGGGCCGATCTTGGCAGTAGGTGCGATTTGAGCGGTAGGATCGACAAAAGCAGGAGAGATGATGGTAGGGCCAGAGGGAGCAAGAAGTTCCGGCGCGGTCTTGGCGAATCGAGAGAGATATAGTGAAGAGGCTGTCACAGCGGAACTGCAATCAGCTACGGATACTTGTCAATAATATTTACTCACGCTGCAGTCTTGATCTGCCTCCAGAAATCTTTGCATTCATAGACGTACATCTTCTTGCTGGCGGCTAGGGGCACAATGACATCGGTTTCCAAAGCTAGTTTTTGCATGTCATCTGGCTGTACGAGCGGGTCCTCACTAACGGTCAGCTTTGGTAGATTTGTTCACATAGTCACTCACGCTGCTCTAGCCGTCTTGTCTGCCATTGCTTCCTTGATCTCATCGAACAGGGATCTATCAAACACTGAAATGTCAGTTCAAGCCGAACGAGGACAGGTACTCACGATAGACTCCCCCGTTAACCATGTCAGAGATCCAGCCTTCAGGCTTTTCAACATAATGCAACACTTGTAAAGTGGCAGGGTCATGGACGATGGAACCGTAATGCGTCGCAATTTCACGTTTGACCTGTTGATGAACTCCTGAAAATATCACAGAAACAAATAAGATCATGACTCACCTTGACAGTTAAGATGGTACCCACACCTCGATGCTTACTGTGAAATTCCAACATCTCCGTGAAGGGGAAACTGCAACATATGTCAATGTTACAGATAAAGATGTTCTGTGGTACGGGAGGGCGAAGGATCGAATCACGGACTATATGAATATCAGCTTGATGCAGCTAGTATAGGAGGGAGTTACACTTACAATGATAAAGACCTCCAGCAGTTCCTAATGGACGGTATTCACGAAGATAACTATAATCAGTTTGATCATCATCAACTGGGTCAAACACACCTAATGGCAATGTTGGGAAATTCGCGTTTGGCATCTTTGATGAAGCCGCTCAAAACGGAGTCTTCGTAGAAACCGATAATGATGACTTCCGTCAAACCTGGAACTTTGGCAAGAGCGGAAAGAGGGTGCCATATCATAGGCTGTGGGATTTAGCGTATGTCATACGGATCACACTCACCTTGCCAGCTATTGGCAGTAACGGTTTAGCACCTAGGGCGATCAGCGAGCTGAGCTGAGGGAAAAGAAAAAACTAACAGTCAAGAGTCAAAGGTCTCATCCTAGTCCCTTTTGATGGACCTCCTACGAGGAGGACGCCTTTGGTCACGGACATGATGGCAGCAAGAGAGGTGATAGAGGAGGAGGAGGAATGAACAACGTGTAAGGTTTGTAGTGAGGGCGGTAGTCTCTCTCTCAACACGGTGGGCGCGTAGGGATAATCCCGACGGAACTCGAATTAATCCCGACGAAATTTTGCCACTTTCTCCCAAAATACGTCACTCAACCCGAGGATCCCTCCACTACTGACCCAAATACCTACGGAATGTCCCCAAATCCCCCCTGTATTGAATATGCATCCTACCGTGGCTTCTTGCATATCTATGGGTTGCCACACGTATTCTGAAGCCATTCATGCAGGCAGAACCTCCGAATTCGGAGTCCTTGGTTCTCTACAGCCATTTGGAGTTCAAATTCGGAAACGCCCCCGAAAGGATGTGTCCTTCAACCCTAGGCACTGTTTGGCGGTGATTGGGCAATCATTTTTCTCCTCTTCTTATTTCAATCATCTTCTTTCTATTGATTTAAACATAATAGTAACTTACTGAATTAAGCTCACAAGCTTTATGTCTCAGAATAATCAAGCTGATCAACTCATTCTCAACGCTTTAAAGAGAAAGTCGCCTTTTCGTGGTCGACCTCCGAAAGTGTATGCTCCTAGTGCACAATCACCATCAACATGTCAGTGTCTCCTCTGAAGATTATCTCACCCCTTACTAACTATGTAGCCGGTCCTTCTCACCCTATTGAGCCTTCTTCTATCAACAGGACAGCTTCGGAGATCCAGTCAGTTTCGGTTTCGGTGCCCTGTGAGACATTCTCTTTTCCTCTTGGTTCATTGAAGCTTATGCTCAGTGAACAAACCGCCGCCCTTTCCTGAACCACCCCAGCTGAGCTCAAGAGGGGCTTCTTCTCCATCTCCTTGTCATAAAGTAGCTCAGCCCGATCTCCTTCCAACCCCCTCTGCCTCCCTGCCTGCTTCCGAAACGCGACTGGAATCGCATTTGGATTCGGTGGCCTGTGAGGCAGTTTCTTTTCCTCTGGGTTCATTGAAGCTTATGCTCAGTAAATCATTCACAGCAGTTTCCCAAATCGTCTCCTGGTCACAAGATACCCCTGTCCACGGCTGATTCCAGTGAGTACTTTTGGATCCCCTTTATGTATCAACTGACAGGAGAGTTGCATCAGGAGATACTCCTGCATCGTCCAACGGTATTGGTATTGTGACACCAGATTCGGTACCCTGGACAGAGCTGGTCATGGCCTCCCCCTCCGCTTCATTGTCTTCGGCCGTGCAAGCTTCAGCACCCAACTTATCCGCTGCCGTTCCGAAATGGTCTCCCTCTCAACCTCCGAATCCCATTTCGGTAGAAGATGAGATCATCACTGCTAGGCAAGAGGCGGCCGGGCGCTTCCGAATTGTCAATATCTCTTCCGAATCATACTCCGTACCACGTCCTGAGGCTCCACTCTGGCACTCAAAGCTCTCGCACGAC